GCTAAGAGCAGGGGCCTCGAGGGAGAAGAAGGCTGATGTAACAGGGCAATAAAAGCTGCGCAGACACAACCAGTGGTCGCGTCTTCCTTGCTGGCAAGGCCGCGCACGACACTTGCAGAGAATAGCTGCTCACTAACTGCTTGTTGAAGGGAGGAAGGAGTTAGACTAGGACCCTAGTTGCTCCAGACAGTGGACGGAGCCTGAGTAAAATGCCAAGGCAGGAAATTGCTTTTGTTTTTGGGAAAATCTGTTCCTTGTAGAAGAGCCAACAAGAAGAAAGCAGGAAATCAGACTCAAGAAGTAAGCATTCATCATCATTATTTTAACATACCGTGTTATACCTCATATGTTCTTGGTTTTCTGTCTCAGGTTTGTCTGTCCAGGGAAGGGCAGTAATTGAGGGAACGGCAGATAAGAAAGCCAACAGGACTTGGTCACCAGCTGGATGTAGGCTGAGGGGAGAAGGGGACCTTCTTCTTGTGTTTCTGACCCTAGAAGCTAGGAAAAATTAATGGTAGTATTAACTGGCATAAAGAGCCGAGACAGACAATGGTTCCCATTTGGATTCGGATTCTTAGTCTGAGGATCTGCCTAGAGGAAGATGCAAAATCCATCTTTTGAAATACAGCTCTGTCTGGTCCCAAGGGAGGTCCTGAATGGGAGGCATTCACATGGAAATGGAACTAAAGTCAAAGGATCTAGGAGTTAATAAGCCTAGCACAATGGACAACCGCAGACAAGCTGATGGTAAGACACCAGAGGAGAGAGCCCAACAGCTTTCTCAGAAGTTTAGCAAAATAAATGTTTGTGACCTGAAGCAGGGGTTCAGAGGAGCACGTGGGACCAGAGAACCAGGGAGGAAGATTTCAGCAAGAGGAAGGAGTTGTCAGAATATCCAATAAGTGGGAGGAAAGAGGAAAGGTCTTCGGGTTTGTGAGCAAAGCGATCAGTGATGTCTCTGGAAGTGCCACATACAGCAGTAGTGATGGGACCCTGAGGAGGACTGGGAAGGAACAGAAGAAGGCAAAAGAGATGACAGAGGGTGTGAGGTTAAGGTGATCGTCCCCTCCTTTTCTAAAAACACAGGGTAAAGTAGGGAGCAGGCTTGTGACTGCAGAAAAGGGACTAATAAAGGAGATGTGGAAAGCCAAGGGAGAACAGTGCAAGAGTAATGTCCCAAGGGAGATTAAATGGACAGAAGCGAGAGGAGAGAGGAAGGGGTCCACCCTGAGGGCACTGAGACTTCTCTCCTTCCAGCCTGGAGGGAGGGTGCAAGACAGGGGCAAGAGCAGCTGGGAGAAAGTCCACCTTGCAGCCTGGAGAGGCTGACACTGAATCCTTAACTCACCACTTTGTTACATTTTATTTTAAAGAGAATGGAAAAGTAATAGATAAGACATTAGGAATAATACACAATTTCAAGATTAGAAATAACCAAGATGATAGATACGCGGCAATGGTTGCTATGTTCTCTTGTTAACGGAACAATCTTCAGCAAATAAGCTCGTCTCAATTGTAATTCTTGATATATAATTTCAGGAAGAAAAATCTTTCTGGGGTTGTTGTGAGAATTGGTAAAAAATCCACTCCCTGGAACACATGTCACTGAACTGTGCAAACTAGTAGGATGGGCCTCATGGGAAGGGATGAGATTTTTGAGATCTTTGCTCCAGTGCTGAGGTCTATAATCAGTTCTTCAAGGATTAAGAAGTAGTATCATCCTCTACCATAAATTCACCTACATCCGCATTACTTGGCCAGCAGCTGTATACACTTTAGTTTTTTTCCAAATTAGAACACAGGACCCTAAAATCAACCATGGGGGATCAGGGAGATAGCTCAACAATCTAAGTACCTGCCTGGCAAGTGCAAAGACTTGAGTCCCATCCCAGGTGCTGCATACCGTGCCCCTGAGCCAGCCATTGAAACCAGGCACGGTGGCACATGCCTGTAATCCCAGTGCTGGGGAGGTTGAGACAGGAGGATCACTATGAGTCTGAGCTTCACAGTGAGACCTTGTACCAAATAAATGAATGAATGAATGAATGAATGAATGAATGAATGAATAAATGATTTCAAAAAAGTCAAACATGGAAGAAAAGCTCAAGTTTCAAAATATTTCACTACTTAGCACTTGACTGCAATAGCGGTTAAGAGTTCACAAGTAGGGTCATGAAAAACCTCTGCGATGACCTTACCATATGCTGAGCTTCTGAATGATGGAAGGGTGTCAGACACTACTGGGACCGTGAGAGACTGAACTGCGCTTTCAATATTTCATGTACAATCTACATTTACAGTGAAATTTAAGACAACTGTATTAATAAGCTGGTAATAGCTATTTTAGCACAGATGGTAGGGTGCTTTCCTGAATAGGAACTGAGTCGTGTGTAGACAGACTCTACTACTAATTCTACAATCTTACTGTATGGGCATCTTTGTATCCCCAGCGTGAAGGAGAATTTCTGCGATCCGGATACAGAAGTGTATGCCAGCTCCTTGAAAGCTGAGACAGGAGGGTCTCAAGCTCTAAATCAACCTGGCCAACATAGTGGGATCCTGCCTTTCTTAAAAAATTGATATAGTATTTTATTTAATTAAAGCAATACTAACAATAACTTCATGAGACAAATATGGTAATTATTGCCACTGTATTTTGGAAGAAACTATGACACAAAGAAATAATTTGCCTCATACATTACTAGGTAAAGGCAGGATTTCAGCAATGAGGTTCTGGCTTAAACCTAAACCTTTTAGTCAATGTAATATATCGCCCATCATAACAAGAGGCAAAAAAGAGGATTGCTGGCTCATTTAAAACATGGGCTGTGAAGCAATTATCTTTCTATATCAACTTGCAAACAATTTTGTTTCCATTTTCCTTTCCTATATAAAGTATATAATCTTTTTTTTCATGTTTCCCAAGCTCCTTCATCCTGATATATCATGGATTTGATGACCTAAACTATAAAACTAAGACTGGGTCTCTTATGGGAAAATAGGGATCTTGCCTTTTGGTTTTTTTTGGTGGAACCGGGGATTGAACTCAGGTCCTTGTGCTTGCCAGGCAAGCACTTACTCTACTGAGATATCCCTAGCCCCCTGGGGAGCCCCCTGCCTTTTAAAAAGACCTGATAGCTGGGAATATAGCACGTGGCCTAGTAGTAGACACTGTCTAACATCTGCAAGGCCTTCGGTCCTCTCCCCAAACCATAAAGAAACAGTTCCTGAGAGTTTCAGATTCTCGATAAATGTCTATTATTGCTGCACTTCATTAAAGATTGTACACAACTTGCCTTAGAGTGTGCCAGCCACTTGGTATCTGGGCGGTGTTGATAGCTACAAATGGACTTACTATAAGCTGGAGCTGGGATGCTCAGAGAATGGCAACATTTTCCCTGCACTTATTTATTTTCCTGCCTCTCCTGTCGAACATGAACAAGACAGCTTGCAAGTCCTGGCTTTGCTTAGATATTAAAAGAATCAGCAGATGTGGAGCATGCTACCCCTGAGAGTGGGGTGGTGGTGATGGGAGTCATTGTCATGAAACAATTCTAGGTGACAAGTTAGCCTCAGGAGCATAGGGCTTGAGAGCAAAATGGACTTGGAAAGGTGACCTGCTGTCACCTTGTGACTTCTGCAGACATTATAGCTTCGAAGCTAAAACTCAAGCCTTTTGGATTTCTTCTGGTAAGAGAGTGAGCACAACCCTCCTCTCCCCCGCCCCATCTCAGCTTAGAAATCTCCCTCTGAATTTCTGTTGGGCATGATGCGTTCCAACCTGTTTATGGGCTCCAGCTTATTTTTTGTTGTCTCATGGAACTTTGTTTTCTTAGCATTTGCACAAGTTCCTTCCCAGTGAGGGGTGTGCCTTTTACATCCTTGGTGGCATTGTCCCTGCCCTCTAGGCCAGCACAAGCACCTGGGTACTACTGCGTAGCTGTGACTAGCTGGCTCCCCTGTGAGGTGTGGAGACTCATTCTGGTTCTAGGGCTCTCTACCCCGAGGCCATTCAGACCTCGGTTAGATGAATATGGGGCAGAAGCTCGGGGCTATGGCTCTGCAAAAGCAGGTGCATGCGGCTGGGAGCGTCCTGCCCCCTCCACAGCTGCCTTGGGCTCCAGGGCACCACCATCTACTTACTGTATGTAGCTCTCTGCTGTTTGGAACTTAGGTAATAACACATTACTTATTTTAGTGTCACCAAACCCTGCACACCGGTCAGAGCAAAACCCTTTTTTTGAAAGGAGAAAATTGGAGCGCACAGAGATACAGGACTATGTGTACATTTTCAAAATTGGTGAGTGGCAGATGTGTGTTTGCACCAGCTTCCTGGCAGACAAAGGTAGTTTCTACCATCCCCTGTGCTCACTTAGTGGACTAATTTTCTTCATAATAAAACTTTCTGGGCAGTGGAATCTGTAGAGGTGGCCGCTCAACAGGAATTGCAGAAGGAACTTAATACAAGGTGTCACAAATCCACTTGTGGAAAATACTTTTCCCGACTGTATTTTACCTGGGCTGTATTTTTTTTTTTTTTTTCAGAACCAGGGATTGAACTCAGACCCTTGCACTTGCCAGGGAAGTGCTTATTCTACTGAGCTATCTCCCCAGCCCCTTTGGGCTGTATTCTAATAGCCCCTTTCCAGAGTATAGGGAAAGGCAGAATCTGAGAGGAGGACAAGAATTCTTTTTAATTTCATCAAAAGAAAGAGTTAAAACAAGGCCCCTTATAGTGTAAGGTGGAGAAGACTGCCTTGAATTCTCCAGATGCCAAAACCAGGCTAAAAGGCTCTATTTCCTCCCTAATGCCTTTTTCAGAGCATGGTGGAAATGTTAAGGGGTGTGCTTCTGGGGGAGGTTAGGGAGCCGAGGAGACGATCCCTCCCTCCAACAGGCGTTGTTAACAAAATAAAAGAAAAAAAAGAGAAATAAAAGTTGGTTTCTCTTATTAAGCGCCATCTGTGCTCAAAACATACACGAAGGAGGGAAAGCTGAAGGCGCAGAGCGAGCCGCGGGTTCTGATTCGGTTGTTTACCATCAATCAGGCCGTTGCTTGGCAGACACTGGATGGTTATGAGCCCGAACAAGCTGAAAGGGGCAGGAAAAGAAGTGGAGGCAGCATTCTTCCTATTTAAAGCTGCATCGCTGGAAAAAAGTTTTCGCAGACTGTGCGGGAGCTGGTGCTGAAAAGGGGGGTTTGCCGAGGCTGCCCCGGGCTGGTGCTGAAACTAGAGCCCACCGCCCACTTCATGGTGCTACCGTAACCTTAGAACCTTCTCTGCACTCCCGGGAGGACCCACATGTCTAATATTTAGATATGATGGCAAACTGGGTGGAAGCAAGACCTCTCCTCATTCTTACTGTTTTATTAGGGCAATCTGTCTCAATAAAAGCCCAGGACGAAGGCGAGGACGGTGAGTTCGCTGCCTGCTTTGCTCGCGGCGTTTATTGCATGGTTTGGGAATGTTAAAAGAGGAGGCTCCGGCTGGAAGCGCGAGAGGGGGCTGCCCGATCTGCACCTGGGAGCGGGCTCCCCACACGCTCGCTCGGGCTGTTTGCAAATCCGCAGCTTTTCTCCCTCGACCATTGGAAAGATGCTGCTGCTGCTGTGCCTGGGAAAGCTTAGGATCAGACCGTCCTTTTGCCCGCATGTGAGAGTAGAAAGTTTAAAGAAGAGCCCTGAAAAGGGAGCAAGAAAGACAGTTTTAGTTAGAAGAGCTCTGTCCTGTGGGCCAGAGCTTTCGGAGCAAGGAAAAGCCGCTGCAGAAGCTGGGTAGGGTGGAGTCTTTCTTGCAGGAACTTCAGCTGCTTCATAAAATTCTTTGTTTAGAAAAACCTCGGTGGCGAGGCTCATAGTTCTGATTTTTCTTTGTGTTCTGCTCCTCACTCTTGTCTCTGTACAGACTCACCCTTCTTTACCATCTTCAGCTGAGATCTTCAGGTCACTTTTGCTTTCAGAGAAGGAGACTCCTTCATTTCTCCCTGACTGAGAGGCTGATCTAAGCCAGATTTCTCAGGCAGTGGTGCTTTCCCACCCTGCTCCTTGATTACCAGGACAGTGTGCTTCCTGGGTGGGTGGAGGGACACAGGAGATCAGTATGCCTTATGTATGACTTGCGTGACGAGGAGTATTTGAGCATTTTTAGTAGACCCAGCTTTTATGAAAAGATAAATTTCGCCTGCTTACTCAACTTTTCCTATGTGGCTCGCCTGCGTTTGGGTTGGGTTTTGTGATTAAGCAAAAGTGCATAGCTGACAGAAAATACAAGAAAATGTATTAACTAGTTCTGCAGATTTTTAAATCTTTATTTTTGAGTGTTGAAATTTCAAACACAAGCAAATACTTTCGTAATAGGCCATTGTAGATTTCCATCCTATTCCCACCCATCTGAAGCTTCTGATGCAGCATATTGATTAACCCGTCTATTGCCTTTGCCACTGCTTCTGGGTAGTTTTGCCATAAAAATGGTGAGAAAAATCTGCCTGGAGAACCCACGTCTAAAAATGTTAAGAGTGAAAATAAGAACTTCGAGGTAAATATTCAACAGTCTGTCCAGAGTCCCATAGAGGGAGCACTTTCTAGGTCTGGAAAATTGATGTTACTTTTTCTGTTTCACAAAATGAGGCAATTCATAAAAGGTAAAAATTCCCTGAGTCTCAACGAAGTGGCATGGAGAGCTTGTGTTGTTCAGGAGGGTGATGAAGATAACTCAGTAGAGAGTGGAAGTTAAAGATTAAACGCAGAAAGGCGACGTTAAAAATAGGAAAACATTTTATCTCTTCTTCCCCACCAAAGTGACCAACTTTTTAAAACTTTCAGTGAACTTTTTCATCCATTCAGATTAAAATTATTGACTTACTTCTGAGTGCATGAGCAAATCAGAGGACTACTTCAAAAGGCAGATATGATAGGCTTCGTGTTTACAGACTTTCCATAGAGCTGTAGTTACTCTGTAGGAGTAATTGAAAAAGGAGCATAATTCCTTCCTTCTTAATTTACATAAATGTTAAGAATGTGATGCTTGGTGTGAGGAAAGTCTCAGCTCCTCTCCCCTCCGCACAGTAGTGGGTATTGCAGACACCACATTTTATAGAGAAAGGATAATTTCTTGGGTATATATTGTAAAAGGTACATGCTTCCATTTTGTTAGTCAATGCAAAATAATATATGTGAAATAATGGCACTCCTAAATAAAGAGATATGATCCTAGTAAAAGATAATGCAGAAAAGAATTTCAGAATCCAGTATATTAGAGCTACTTAGGTCATATTACATCTACTTACCATGAATATGCTGGTTCAGTCTGACATTGAATGGGCACATGCAATACTTCATTTCTCATGTTCAGGCATGCCACAAGCCTAATAAAAGTGTTAAAATATAGAAACTACATGGGATTTTGAGTTCAAGGAAGAGCAAACTAGTTAACACTTTAAAGAAATATCTGAGGCACACATGTCAAGCAGGTATGAGATTTTATCTACAACTAAGTCACATATTGTAGTATCTACTATATGTACAAATATGTTCCCTTGGAAGTATAGAGAACTTTTATTTTATGTAAGTATATATTTATAAGCTTTTGGATTTTTTGAACATTTTCCTAAATATTACTGTGATTATGGGCCAGAAATGTAAATCATAA